CCAAAACCTCCCGGTTGTGAAAATGAAACCTGCCCTACTCAAAAAAACAAAACTTGAATCGAATTAAAGAGAGCCATGTGTTCACGTTTCTGTATATAAATGTGTCTCTATATCAGATCAGATTCACAATACGCTCTTGAAATGCACACAGTGCTTCACTCGCAGCTATTTAACAAGATGTTTTTAAACCATTTATTTTATTATATTATGTATAATATATTTTGTTATATTTTATTTAAAAACGTATAATATAAGCAAGTCTAAAACTTAACGTACTAAAAAAAACAAAATCAAAGACTGCAAGAAGAAAGAGAGAGTAAGAGAGAAAGAGAAGAAAATGACTAGTTACTGCACTGCTTTTGTGGGGAAAATGAATATAAAACTGTATAGCTGAAAGCATAAAAATATATATTTTTTTTTTTATTAATTAATATTTTTTTATATTTTTTATTTAATAAGTATTTCAGAAACGAATGCTCAAGGGCTCAATATGCGTAGAACTTTCTGAATGATAGGTGCTCCAATTCTGCGGAAATCTGGGGACATTTTTCTGAATGCAGAAGACGATTTATCATAAAATGCCTGAAATTCTTTATAGAGAATCATTACAGAGATAATTTGAGTACACTAATTATTTCCCATACTTTTCCTGCAGGTGAATTCACTCAAAAATGGTTCATTTAGTTCAGAGTTTTATGAGGACAGAGACTGAAATTAAATAAGACAAATTTAATTTAAATGCGTTTAAACTGTAAATAAAATCTCAATGAAACTGCATTAATGAATAAAAACAAAATCTACAAACAAACACTCAAAACAACAAACTTAACTTTATTACGCAGAGTTCCCTGTTCTCTAGGCTAAAGGGCATCTGCGGGTTTTAGGTCAGAGATCTGGCTCGCTGCCTCAGTAAACAGAAAGAGTAAAGGTGAGACACTGATGTGCCAATGCTTTTACTGAGACAACTCATGAAACATTGTGTACTTCTGTCTGAGAGAAGAACACACATCCATAAAGAATATACCCAGAAACCTTACCATTTTCTGATGAATAGAAAGTTCAAACGATCAGCATTTCTTTGAAATAGAAATCTTTTGAAACAGTCTTTACTGTCACTTTTGATCATTTCAATGCTGAATAAATGTATTATTTTTACAAAATGTAAGCTTTTGAACAGTAGTGTATAACATATTTTAAAGCATTCTTCGTTTGTTTTAATAATGCACACAGCAGACAGTAAGGGACAAAGCGAGGTGGGGGAGTGTGAGAATGCAGAACACAGGCTTGCCACACTTTCTGACCATGAATTTCAACGACTATTCCAGATGTAAACACTGGATGAGAATTACACACACACACACACAAAAAGAAATCTAAATTTACAAGGGAATTCACTCACAAAGAACAAATTTAGATGATGAAACAGCAGAGTTTATAAATTATTTAGATATTATATTCACTGCAGAAATGTCCATTATTGTCCTATTGGTTTTGTGACTTATTGATTTCTAGAATGTTTCCTGGTAAACACTATTTTAAAACTCTCCGATATTTTCAGGCTTTTTATGACAATGGGAACCCTGGAACAGAACTTAATTTTTTTGCTTAATTTTGGCTGTTCATTTACACAACAATGTCTTTTTGGGGACCTGAAAACAGGTTTCAGAGTGCACGTTTTTGAAAAAGATACCATTATTGTCTCTGTGTAAACCACAAAAATGCTAATTTGTGAAAACGGTGACGTCATGCAAATGCGTATTACGTGTTAAGTCTATATTAGGCGCGTTGTGTTTCTTTACAAAGTAACATCACCAACTTCTGGCCTGGCAGCCAGCCTTATAGTGTTTTTAGTCGTTTCCGCGGATCCGTGTGAACGGGGATCGTTTTGACAACGTTGTGGTCTGTACGCGAAAAACGCAAAGGAAATACTTTTCCGTTTTTTTGTACATCATTGACGTGTAAACGCACCCTCACTGATTTGTGTTCCACACCGGCTCACTGTTTTATTGATTACTCCCGGTGCATTTAAGCCCTGAGTTTTGCTTAGTTACTTGTCCAGTATTAATTGTAAGTTAGTTGTTTGATATGCTCTCACTCTTTGTGGTATTTATTCATTCATTCTTTGTCCTGATCCTTGGAATTTTACACAGCAGCCCGTAACAACCAAACGCTAGTTCATTTTAATTCACCCTCGTAATAATTTTACATATTTATTTTAAAGTATGGTCACATATTTCAGTTGGGAGCTGGTGAAACTTTAGCACTTTCCTACTGCCATTCTGGTAAAGCTCTTGGCTAAAGTCCAGACACACATACCACTGAACAAAAAGCCAAGGACAGGATGAAGAAACCCCTACACATAACACACAGAGTCCCTGGGTGAACTTTTCTCCATCCTAATAAGGTCCTCCAAAAAACTTGAGATTTCTTTGAACTTACAGAAGAATTAAGTTTCCATTAATTTCACATTGGGCACATGCAGGCCCACATCACCCCAGTAACTGAGACTTACACTTGTCTACACTTAGCGAACCTACAAATAAGTATGCACATAAACACCTGGGTTTGTGTACACATGCACATTCTTCACGCTTGAAACCCCTCCAATTGCTGACACCATTCATGTTCTCCTAATTGAGACTAGCTTCTCGCAAATGAGAAGGAGAGAGAGTAACAGAGAAAGATTTCTGACGTTACTAAATCAGACAGACCGATTTAATCCTCCTATCACTCGTCATACAAGCCAGCAAACCTGTCAACAGAGCAGTCCACATTTGTTTTTGTTTTGACCAAAGCTAAAACCTATTGCTGCTAACCCAAAAAACAGAAATTTCTGATTTTAAATGCTACACAGCCATTACACATCAGGCAGCTCCTTTCATAAAGACAGTATTAAGAGATTTAAAGAATTATGAGTAAATACAGTGAATGGTTTACTCTTGCATATAGGTTGTCGTCTATAATAGTCTAGTCTAGTGTGGCGATACAATGAAAATTTATTTAAAAGGAGTGCAGTCTGTAGCCATCATTTTGAATGATATCAGACCATTATGTCCAGTGCGAGTCCTCGTCCATTGCTCAAGAGGACAAGGACCTCTGTCTAAACTGATAAAAAAGTGTTTCTTCTCCTCCCTCACATTCTCTAGACTAGAGTGTCTCCCTTCAACAAAACACACCGAAAATCCATTCCTGTACTTTTGTAAAGGTTGTGGGTTTAACTTCAGGTAGGAGAGACACATGAACTGATCCCTTGAGATAATGTGTCCTAACAATTTACAGTTGCATATGTTCTATATTTTGCTTTGGATTTAGATTCAGATAGACAAAGACACTTGGGATTATATGAAGCAGTTTAGCTTTAGCATGTGGGACAAGAGAATGAAAAAGGATTAAGGTGGTCCCCACTGTAAAAAAAAAAAAGAAAAAAAAAAAAAAAAAGTCAGCGATCCAAAAAAATTTGCTTCGTGTGATATGCTTTAAATGAGCTGTTTAAATGAAGTTTATTCAAGTATTGGAATGATATAGTGGCCAAACAATTAAAACTCAAGTTTTATATGCACAGAATACATAGTTCACATAAACAACTGTGGCAACTTGTATATCTAAAAGAGTTCCCAGCATACAAACCCTCACTCGCAAAACAATACTTCTGAAATATGATGTACTTCAACTGAATGTTGCCGAAGTCGCTTGTTTAGTTACATGGACTTTTGGTTAACGTATCCACAGAACAGATATTTTGAAAGATTTGCCCTTGGCCTCTGATATACAAAACTCAAAACATGAATAAAAAACAACAACAGATTGTCATGTTAACACCATATTCAATAAATATGGAAAATGCTCTTGTTATTACTGTAATGTGATTGATAAATTACACCGCTCAGATGGTGGTCTGTTATTCTGATGTCTTATTCACTGAAACACCTCATTTTATCATTTTCATCTGTCATTGAACCATCACTTCAACCGTTTTCAACCTCTCCACCAAAACCCCTCATTTCTCTTATCACTAACGTCATTATAATCTTATCATGATCAACATTGAGTAATAGACTGTGTTTGTGCAGAGGGAAAAAACCCTGTCTGCAAAAAAGTCTAGACCATGTCAGGCACATCATAATCCCCTTTACGGCCAAATAAGTTAAACAACAGTTATAGCACTGATTTTAGTATTGTTATGTTACTGTAAAAGTTATTACAAAAAAATGTCATGATTTATCACAACTTTTTTCTATTATCAAATCAACTTAGATAATTAATATGGTTCATAAAACATAACATTGAGTTTTTTGTTGTATTACCTCAATTTTTTTAGTTACTTTATTTTTTGAGAAACTAAAAATTAAGGCAACCAGGTAACTTACTTTTTTTTAAAGTTAAACCAATTATATGTTTGATCACTGACCCACAGACTTGTTTTTATTAAAATGATGGCCAGTAATAGCATAATTTTTCATTATTATTTTTTATGTGATATATTCTAGCACTCTCTTGTGGCTTTTTTTGGGGGGAGGGGGTCAGGCAAGGTAACACTGAAGATTGGGTGGTCACCTAAACATCAAATCATGAAACTCATGAAAATCGTCTCATTCATCCATTGCAACACGTTTTACAAAGATTTTTTTTTTCTTTTTTTTCTAGTGAGCAGCCTATCGAAGCAAATTCTTTGATCATCATATAGGCGCATTCGTTCAAAGTAATTTCAACAGGGTTTAAAGTTTAAATCAGTTTCTTTACAAAAAATTACAATGGTAACCATAGTTTCCGACAGTTAGGCTACTATAGTTCCTGTCACTTGCAGAATAATAATACTTAATAGCCTACATGAATACTGGATGTAAAACAGTGTAAAACTATTTTAGAATCTCTTCATTGTGTTCAGTTTGTTTTTAAGACAGTGGAAACTAGCACAAGTTAGCACACACATTTTAATGCCGGAAACTATGGTTGCCCTTTTAGTAGCCTATGGTTTTACGTTAGTTAGAAATGGCACTTACCGACAGCAGCAAGCAGGCAGCAGGTGATGTGAGCTGGAGAGCAGATCTGTTTGATCAGCTGTGTGCCGTATCGATCTGATTTACTGCGCGCACAAAGAGAAAGAGCAGCACTGAAGTGAGCGACAGACGCAAGAGAGGGACATGCAAACACCTGGTAGTGTCCTAATGGCGCACTTTGACTGGTTGTACTTTGGCAGAAATCTGTCTTCTTTGGATATAAAAAATTAGAAAAGCGCGTCACCGCCAGCCGCGCCCTCCTGGAGCCGCCCCTAGATTTACTGCACGAGGCAGAGATCTCCAAGTTATGACAAACAACAGGACCAGGCTCTGAACAGGACTAAAGGAAATTACCGTACCATACCTACACAATTTTATCATGTTCATTGTCAAAGTTCACGGTAATTAATTTGTGTGATTCTCACGACAATAAAACTCTGGTAACTTATTAGCTGGTGTGCGAAATATTTTTAAAAAATTCAGGGATGAGGACGTTAAATTACAGCTTAATAACACAATTTGTTAGCAGGTTTTCAAGATGTAAGTTACGTTAGCGCTCGAGGCTCGTCGTCTCTCGCTCCACAACCGAATTTTTTTGGCGCCCAAACCCTTACCAAAAAGACGTTAGGCCTATTCAAGTGTGATATTAGTAAGCCCACTTGTTTGAAACTAAACATATCTTTCAGTCAGCCGCGGCTCGTCTGTATTGACAAACTATTCATCCAAACATAGACCTCTTTACACTGAATTAATAATAAATTGAAAATGTGCATTCTGCAACAAATATTTTCTGATTTTTTAAACTATTCTAAGTCGTAAAGTGATCAGTATATAATACAATTTGGCAGGCATGTAAATGCCCTGTCCACACGAACACGGTATTTTCAAAACAGCAGCTTTTTCTATGCGCAAATGCAGTATTCGGTCACTGAAACCGAACTTTAAAAAAAAAAAAATCCTGCCAGGATGAAGATTTTTAGAAACTCCGGTTCCAGTGTTGGCGGGATCCCAAATGGCACACTTCATGTGGACTCGCGGTCTCGTGGCCCTAAATTGCGCGTGCTCGAGTCCGTGTACTAGTCCGTAGAGTGGCATTTCAGCGCTCAGAACTGAGCTCGCGAGCGTCGCCTTTGTGCCCTCGATGCGGACTTCGGCGAATCCCGCACTTTCGCACACGAGTTACAATCAGAACGCACAATCAGATAAATGAGGGGAGGAGTTTCGTGTCTGTTTGACTTTCGGTGGCATGATGTCATCAAGCCTGTCCCAAAATATTCGGCTTGTTCGACTTGAACCAGCGCTGCACAGACCGATCGGTTTATGACATCAACGCAAGCGTGCCGCACAAGCCCTGAAAAGTGAAGCCAAAACGTCTTCTCTCGATCGCCCCCCGGTTGCCGGTCCTAGTATAGGTCATAAACCCCGCCTCCCCATGTTATTCAACGGCACGTGAGACCAACTAAACAATTAAATTACACTTCAAATATCGTTTTTCCAAATATGGTTTCTGTCATTTACTGCAGTTTTTATCACCCTGATGTAATTTCAAGTGTTTGTTTTTAAAATAAGTTTGTTTTCGGTTATCGGGATACTGGCAGCTTCCCTTCTGACCAATGGAAGAGAGCGAAGGGGCGTCGTCCATCTTTTTTTACAATCTATGCATCAAAGTAAGGCGAGAGCGATTGAAAGGCATGCGGAGCCGTCTGCTCTCTAATCGTTCTCGCAGTATTTTGATGTCATTCACCGATCGGTCTGTGCAGCGCCGGTTCAAGTCGAACAAGCCTACTCTCGCGGGCCTTGTGGACTCGAGGCCAGCGCCCCGTAGGTCTGCACTTCCTGACGTCACCAAGTGTGAACTCGAAGGAGGTCCACAAGGTCGGAGTGCCATTTGGGATCCAGCCGTTGTCGTGTAGAGTAGACGGTGAAACCAAAGATTTTGTCTTGTGACGTCGGAACCAGTAAAAGAAAGGTCGGAACCGGTAATAACCGTTTTTCCAGGCTTCTGATTGGCTAACATGGCTTAACGGTTAGGGTTATACCGCCGCCTGTTGGTTTGGAATGTGGACGCAATTTATTTATTTATTTTAAACGGAGGAAAAACTCAGTTTATAAAAATACCCTTGTATGTGTGGACTAGGCCTAAGCGGGGAAGCCTGTCTCTAAGCCCTCCCTAGCTCAACAGCGCCCCACAAATCTCCAACGTAAATCTGTGGTGAAAAATGGAACTGCAGCACGCTCTCATAGAGAGCCACTGGGGCAGATTTCAGACTTGCCCAACTTATTTTCTCATGACCTTACGTAAACTTCGCTCCAGAACAAGACGCTCAAGTGGTACTCACTGTAGAGTCAAATGACGATCAGCTCCATTTGCTCTGCAGTGAGCAGCTATGTGTCTGCATCAGGTCCGTAACTATTTGGCATGTCTGTTATCATAAACTAGAGCTAAGGCCCAGAATCTGCCCTACCTAAATTTACTGCCAGGAGCTGCTACGGTCTACTTTTTATGTACTTCTCAGACTTTATGTATACTTCTCAGAAGTATAGGCCTACATAAATTATACTTAAGTATACTTGACTTAGTTGAAATGCTAGAAAGAACAGTCTTTTGATTGAGATGTATTTCAAAGTAGTCGGCACTGATCAGGGAGTCGGCCATTTAACGGGCTGTCTCAATCGCAAAATACTTCCAGGGCACTGAAACGTGCGCTCCCTAAAAAGTACCAAAATGCTCTGTGAAAACCAGGTGACCAATGTGTCCAATGAAAGAAGAGATACCAAGATTAAGCGAGGAGTATTCAGCTGGTTTCATGACATCAACATGGTGGCCTCCATGAGTCAATTTTTGAAAAGCTTTTATTAGGTTGCTAATAATATCATTAAAAAATATATTAAACTATAACTACTATCCATTATAAAGGGAAAAATGACTGAGTGCACCTTTAAGATCAATCAGAGAAAATAGCACATAGACCTTCAGAGCAGCTCCATATTTATTTCTTAACAGGAATGAAGATAGGCTGTGTGGAATAGAAGATCAGTTTGTTTAACAGACTTGTTTAATAACATGCGAATGATTCAGCTGATAAAAAATCTTGAAGTGCAAAAACTCCATGAAGCAGTTTTGAAAGTTTTAAAAATTACTAGAGCTTTGTACAGTGCATGAGTTTTCATTCGCAAAAAAAAAAAAATCAATCAATATGGTGTCAAGTTACCTTGACTAAGGTCAATCAAGAAATAATGTGCATTTGCTGATTTTTTTTAATCTATAATTTACCTCTTATCCTAAATACAGAAATCTTTCACTTTCTTTCTCTCCGCCTCACCACATTGGCTTTTAAATAATTACTGTCATTGGTTTTTAAATAAAGTATTGGATGTTGTCAAAAACTGAATGTTTCACAAAAGGGAGGTGAAATCATTTGCAAATCTTTGTATTTCTTCGTTATGCAATGCTGGTCGTCTCCTATTCACGGGCATAGCGAAATAAAAGCTGGAACTGGAAACGAATTAAAGAACCGCGTGTTCCTTTTCAAGACCTCTCCACGCTCTTTCATTTGCTGGGCAACTGAGTGGGGAGAGAGAGAGAAAGAGAGACAGAGAGAGAGAAAGAGAGAGAGCAAGCAAGAGAATTGGGGGCAGCGAGTTGAATTTTTCGTTCCGTCATATGCTGCTTATACCGCTTCTCAGCAGGCGAGGTTTAATTTTGTAGAATGCCATTCGTAATTATTTCTGAATTACAGTTATTTTTCCAACTGGTTTCTGTACGGCAGCAGTAATGGCAAATGCCAGGTGGAGTGGGCAGAGCTGGGTTTTAGGAGACTCCATTATCTCCTGTAATAGACAGCCAGTTGAGAAATGAGCTGGCATTCACTTTCCAAAATGGACTTATTGGTTGGTTCAGTTAATGGCTTATGTGAGATTTTACAATAGATAACTGGGTCCCCTAGTATTACATCCCAGCTCTTCACTTAAACCAGTTCGGCTGTGGTCTTAACGTTATAAGAGAGGAGGAGTTCATAGAATAGAAAAAAGGAGAAAAGGGAATGGAAAAGAAGATGATAAAAGAGTTTCAGACTTTGACAAACGACTACCTACTCTTCCCCCGTTGCTGACTGGGAGCCGTCAAACTTGGTTCCATGTTCTAATGGAGTTTTTATGATGCCCTGTTGCCTAATTATGCACAAACTAAGCGTTTTCCTACAAAGGTTTTGCCAAAGTCATCGTCTCGGATTATTTTCAGGCTCAGATTTATGTGAATTTACGCACAAGTAGAAAAGCTTATCTAGAATCTGATTCTTGTTTCTCAGACGAGTTACAGAAGGAGCTGCTAGATGATCTCAAATCAAGACTTTCCAGGACAGTATCTTTTAATGTAACCTGTAAGTCATTTTCAGTTCAAAGACTGGAATCCTATAAAATCGACTGCAAAAAATTGTTGTTTTAAGGTTCCAGTGTCCGTCAACTGGCTTGTTAAAGACCTTGTCCTGTCAGAATAATAGACTGCACTGCACTCAAGAACCTTGTGTCTCTCTAAAAAAAAAAACAAAGAGCACATGCATTCTCTTTTGGAATAAAGCAGCCAACCACAAGCAATTACCATAGACAAGCTAATATTATTAGCATTATCTCAATTTCAAAATTAAACCAGAGTACAACAAAAGTTTGAGTAAGTATATATTTAATTTTATTTATGGTTTAAGGTCTTGTACCTTTCGATGTTAGAATCAGAATGCAAAAAAAAATACCATCTTCATCACCCTTTTAAGACGTTTATGGTTGCAACCTAGGGCCTAAAACTTTTTGCCACACCTGTCAAAATGTACCAGCCATAAATATTTTTTACAGGCCTTAAAAAAAATTAGTTTTTGAAAAATGTAAAAAAAAAAAAAAGATACTACTGAAAATTCACTATTCTCTATTCCAATTTCAATACCACAGTTAAAACTACTAGCCTATATACATTTAACACATTATTAAAGACAAGTAACCGTAGTTTTCAGGTAGAGACACTGACTAAAGTAATCAAATATAAAATAACACTGGATATTCACTGTATAAATAAAAACATAGATTAGCCCTTATTAAAGTTACAAAAGTTATTCAGTCAAAAGTAGTGAATAATTTTTTCTCTTAGTCATTTGTTGTTTGATTAACATTAAAAACACAGACAGTAGCAGAAATATTAGGCTGCT